GTTTATAGAAAAATTTACGCATCTAGAGGAATTACCTAAAAATAGTCGGTCAAATTTTATGTCAAAAATTTACTCCGCCATTTTGAGCGTTCACGTTTCGTATAATAATATTCACAGAATAGCTTTTCGTTTCAAGTCCGATCACTATAGCGACATGATTTAACTGTACGCACGTAATAATAAATATTTGCATAAACAATAGGTAAGAAGCAAGAATGCAACCCCCTTAAATCCTATTTTCGTGTTTAAGCTTCCGTCAAAGCTCCAGAGATTATATCGTGTTTATTGCGGATCTTTCCCCATGCAAATTAATACACACCGCCCGCCACGTGCGCCGTTATTAGTTCATGCCGAACTCGATATACATGTCAATGGATGTATTTTCCTTTTTCTTTTTTTTTTAATAAGAAGCAGTACGCAACGAAATCATTCTCGACGAGAGCACTGTGACATTTCAGGGGCGGGTATAGTTTGCAATCTAAAAAAAGAACTTGTTGTACACTGATTCCATGGAAAACTCGGTCGGTCTGTCATCTCGAAAAAGAGTTCGAGTGCTTTGAAACAATTTTTAAAAAGTTATTCTGTTTGAAACAGCGTTAACGTAGAAAACAATAAAATAAGAAATGCTAAAACTAGATAATAGATAATAATAGAAATATTATATAATATATTATTATATATACTGTATTATATAATATTTATGTAATATGATAATTATATAATATTTGTTGTACAATATTATGTAATATTTATTGTATAATATTATATATATTTATATATAACAATTACATAATATTTATTCTATAATATTATATATATTTATATATAGCAATTATATAATATTTATTGTATAATATTATATATATTTATATGTAACAATTATATAATATTTATTCTATAATATTATATATATTTATATATAACAATTATACAATATTTATTGTACAATATTACATATATTTATATATAACAATTATATAATATTTATTGTACAATATTATATATATTTATATATAACAATTATATAATATTTATTTTATAATATTATACATATTTATATGTAACAATTACATAATATTTATTCTATAATATTATATATATTTATATATAACAATTACATAATATTTATTGTATAATATTATATAAACAAAAAGATAACAAGAAATAATAAAAGTAGAAAATCGAATAACAATATTTTCGCTGCGGGTATAAATTGACCCACGCTCCGCCACGGGAGTGTTAAAAGTGTTGAAGTTACATCTACGAAGTTTTATAAAGCGGATTGATAGAACGGGGAAAAAGAAGAAATGGAGAACAGTGGGGCGGTGGAAATTTCAAGAGTAATTTCGAAAGAAACAACGAAACGAAACGAAACGAAACGAAGAGAAACCGATGGGACGAGCCTTGTCAAGATGAAAGGTAACGAGTAACGAGGCAACGAGTGTTCGAATCGCACTCGTCGGAACTTATGTCGGTTCAACTGGTTCCACGGTTGATTCGATGGAGCCAGAGGGGCGGGAAAAAAAGGAAGGGAGGGCGGCGGCGGAAGGGTACCGGGGGCAGAAGAGCGAAAGAGTAGTGCGCTCGGCGTTGTAGGACTCTCCGGGTGGAGAGCCTCTCCCTCTCTCTCGCCCGCTTAAAGCCCTATCCACTACTCATTTATCAAATAAATCAACACAGCTACTTGTGCACCTGTGAAGAGATTCAGCTGCGGTCGGCCCGTGCCGTCCAAAAGCCCGTGGCAATCCGTAAATCGATTTCTCGAGTGTGGAGTCAAGATTGACGTCAGGACGTCGAAGAACAAGATCTCGAAGGAAACAACGGGGGGGAGGGGGGGTGGAAAGAAAGATGAACAAATGACAACGACGAGTGTACGATGCAACGAGAACGTTATTTATGCGTTGAAATAATTGGTATCCGTGGAACGAAATCTAGAGGATAACACGAATTCGATCAGTTTATTGTAAAATTGAATATACTGATAATAAATAAATAATGATCGAAAATTCCTGAGAATAAGCAAATTTGTTTCCGCGAAGGAGGATAAAAAATGCAGTAGAATTCAGAGGTCCGTGTTTTATAAATAAACTCAGAGTCGGCAAGATTGCTCTACGATTTAAGTTTCAATAACGTGTACCACGTCTCCCGGACGTGATAATCGTTTCTGGCCCGATTTTTGACCACGCTTCTCAGACGTGATAATGATTGCTGAGCCGATCTTTTTACCACGTCTCTCAGACGTGATTAGTGATTAATGACCCGATTTTTTTACCACGTCTCTCAGACGTGATAATCATTTCTAGCTCGACTTTAACCACGTTTCTCAGACGTGATAATCATTTCTGAGCCGATCTTTTTACCACGTCTCTCAGACGTGATAATCATTTCTGGCCCAACTTTGACCACGTCTCCAAGACGTGATAATCATTTTTGGCTCGACTTTTTTATCACGTCCCTCAGACGTGATAATCATTTTTTATTCGACTTTTTAACCACGTCTCTCAGACGTGATGATCATTTCTGGCCTCATTTTTTGAGCACGTCTCCCAAACGCAATGATCATTTCTTGCCCGATCTTATAAGCACGTCTCTCAGACGTGGTAATCATTTTTGGCCCGATTTTTTGACCACGTCTCTCACACGTGACAGTTACTTTTAGTCCGACTTTTCGACCACGTCCCTCAGACGTGATAATCATTTTTAACCCGATTTTTTACCACGTCTCTCGGACGTGATAATCGATAGAAACGAACGCATTCGTATAAAAGAAAACGAATTCGATGCTCTAATGAAATCTTCGCGACGCAAACTGCGCGATTCGACGATTGTGAACGGCCTGGCGAATCGGCGCGAGTTCTTAATCGTCGTGCGGATCGACCGGCGCGGAGAAATTGGGGAAAGACGACGGAAGAAAGGGATTAAGTGCCGGGCTGGCGAGGGACCGCGCGGCGGGGCGCGGAGACGCAGAGAGTATAATCAAAGAGCTTCGAAAAATCAGGATGCACTTAGAAGCACGTACTCGGCCTATAGAGAGGCATTCAGTTATACTGGTGAGTTTGGAGTCAAAGCAAGGACCCTTGCCTCAGCCGGCGCATTACCTCCGGTGCTCGCGTCGTCGACGTCGACATCGATGTCGACGTCTATGCCGCGTTTACATTCACGTGACCTTCTCTCCCTCTTCTGGAATGCTCTCGCCGGTGTATTTACGATCGCTGAGTCGAGGGACCGAAACATCGACGCGATTAGGAAATTTGGATCGCTCGTTTTCTCTTTTTCTTTTTTTCTTTTTTCTTTTTTTTCGGGAATCGTGATTTCCATCCACGCTTCTCGATCGAAATCGACGGGCTGGTTTTTTTCTGCTCTTTTTCTTTTTTTAACTTTTAACTCGCGTTTTAACCCCTCGCCGTACTTCGACGAGTACGACTCGTCGTGGAAACGAGACGCGGTGATAGATTATCAAGCATAAATGTCATTCTGTAATAATCCGCATATATAACCTTGACATAATATCTTGACGTATTCGCAGCCAACGTTTCGAAATTAAAATCCGGTCTTCCGGTAACTTGATTGCATAATTTACTGATTCTTTGTCGTTCAAAGTAGGCTGGTTTTTGTTCTGTTATTATAAATGTGGGTGTTTGATCGTATATATAAATTGATTAACTTGAATAAAATTCAATTAAATTGACGTAAATTGAATGAAATTGAATAAAACTGAATAAAATTGAATGAAATTGAATGAAATTGAATAAAATTGAATAAAACTGAATGAAATTGAATGAAATTGAATGAAATTGAATACAATTTAATAAAATTGAATAAAATTGAATAAAATCGAACAAAACTGAATACAATTTAATAAAATTGCATTAAATTGAACAAAATTGAACGAGACTGAATAC